TTGATAAGAAATGTACGCATTAACCTGCCCATGTAATTGTAACCCCTCTGTACAGTGTGTTCACAAAAAATTAAAATTAAAATAAAAAAAAAAAAAACAAAGCAAGGGGACTGAACTTTGAAATGCCTTGGTAAAAGCAGCACCTATGGCTAGCCCCATGGCGTGAGAGGTCCCTACTCCAGCACAAAGCCTAAAGAACTCAGAGAGGTCACCCTTGTTTTTATGTGGCCAGAGGACATCTGGATATGCTGGGTTAGCATTTTCAAAGGCAAGATGTTTAACAAAGACACTTTCACTTTCACTCGGCCCAAAAAGCCTTTCTGCAGCCAAGTTAAGCCGCGAGACCAAGTCACTGTAGGGTTCCCACTGTAGGGTTCCTCTGGCCCTTGTCTAACTTTTGCCAGGGAAGTAGTAGCCGATCCCTTTTGAGGGAGACTCTTCCAAGCATAAAGGCCAGCATTTTGAATTTGTGCCAAAAGTCCGGTAGGAAAGCGCGCCTGTTTAGCATTGGTATCAAAGGGTGCATTACCCAAAAGTTTAGTATAGGTCCAGGTTTTTGAAGATGTTTTAGCCAAATTTTTTTGCACAGTCTCTCTACATTGTTCCTTAAAGTCCGAGTTCCATAAAAGAAAATCACCCCCACTAAGGGTGGCGCGGGCCAGAAACTTCCAATCATTAGGGGTGAGCCAGCGCACACTTTGGTTTTCTAACAAGGCTAACGTATAAGGGGCAATCGGACCATATTGGGCACATGCATTTTTAAGCTTTTCAACAAACTGAAGGCTAAGCCTCTTATACTCTTGTTGGCCTTTTCTCTGGGTGGGTTGTTCCTCTTCATCCCCAGTATCTTGTTCCTCATCCTCCTTTTCCTCCTCTTCTCATTCATCCTCCTCACCCTCTGAGGTCCTATCTGTCTGGCTCTGAGTTAGTGGAAAGGCGAGAACTGATTGATGGCGTGATCTAACCTTAATTTTATTAGGTGGTTTTGGCGTATCAGCCAAGGCCAGTGTGCGGAGTTCATAATCAAGGGACCGCAGTTCTTTTAAAAGTTGAATGTGTTCTCACCTATGTTGAAGGGACTCACGTAAAGGGGCCAGGTTAGGTAAAAGGGGGGAGAGAAAAAACATCTGGATCTGGAGGGGCAGTGGGCCCTTGATGGGCTGGGCCACAAAAGGAAGGGGGCGTATAGGAGGGATGCGGAATATTTGAGGTAGAGGGTTTAGTCTGAGGTAGGGGGTGACTGAGTAAGGGGGGTGGAGAGGCATGTTGGAGAACCTCCTCTCCCATTTTTACAAGTTTTAAAATTCCACTATCAAATAGAGAACATTTTAAAATGTCATTAATCAAATTCCAATAGGAAAAGGTGGTAGCAGGAACCTTTTCTGAACCAAAGATTTCATAATAATCTGTTAAACAATCTCCTACTCTTTGCCATCTTTTTGTATCTATTATTCCTTCAAAGGGGAACCAAGGACACAAGTCCTCTATGAATGAGAAAAATAATTCTAAATCCTTTTTCTTAACCCACGTTCCCTGTGTCTTGAGGGCCTCCCTGAGGTCTGACAGAAATAGATCATGTGACGATGTTGCTTGTCCCATAGTGGGTCACTCACCTTGCGCCGTCCCCACTCTCCTTCTGGATCTGTCTCTTGGCGGGGTCTGTCGAGGCAATCTCGGACTGTACTTGGCCAAGTTTTCCTGGAGGACAGCGTTCCTTCCTTAGTCAGAGGCCCGTGTCCCACATTGGGCACCAGTTGTCCCGACCCGCAGGACTTCAACGAGGGCAATGAATCTAAGCGAGAAGGAATGAAGGGACAAGAGACACAAAGAATGACAGCAAGACAAGGATTCTGATCAAGCTGCAAATTTTTATTTTTCCCACAGGGGTATTTATATGCTTAGAATAAGGAAGCTTTTTTCATTGGCCGTAGCAGCTGTAGGATGTTTGCTTAGGGCAGTGTGAAAAGGTGGTCTTTAGCAGCTACCGGGTGTTTGTTTGGGGCAGGATGAAAACACCAGATTCTGTAAACAGCCTCAAGATGTTCCAGTGAGATAGTCAAGCCTATCATGTTAAGAGACTCCCTTTTGGGCTCCCGACAAGATTCCAGTCAGAATGGCAGCCATCAAGAAAACAAATAATAATGGGTGGGCTGGGAAGGTGGCTCAGTGGTAGAGTACTTGCCTCACATGCATGAGGCCCTGGGTTCAATTACTCGGCACCACATAAACAGAAAAAGCTGAAAGTGGTGCTGTGGCTCAAGTGGTAGAGTGCTAACCTTGAGCTGAAGAGCTGAGGGACAGTGCCCAGGCCCAGAGTTCAAGCCCCATAACCAACCAAAAAAACAAGCAAAAAAAAAACAGCAACAAATGCTAATGAGGATGGGGAAAAACATCCCATACACTATTGGTGAGAATGTAAGCTAGTACAACCATTATGGAAATCAGTAGACAAAAACAGACTTTATGATCCCACCATACCAGCATTGGGCATATATCTGAAGGGGAAAAAAATCAATTTACTAGTACATCACCAGCATATCTGTTTTATTGCTGCATTGTTCACAATACTTAAACAATGAAATCAGCCAAAATTCTCAATAACAGATAGATGTTATATATATATATATATATATATATATATATATACATATATATATATATATATATATATACTATGAGATATTACATAGTCATAAAGAAAACTGAAGTCATGTCCTTTGCAGGAAAATGGCTGCAATTGGGGTGGAGGGATTATCATATTGAGTGAAACAAGCCAAGTTTAAGAAACAAAATACTGTGGGTTTTTTTTTACTCATGCTGAAGGCACACATATTTATGGATATAAGAAAACTGAAATCATGTCATTTGCAGGAAAATGGATGCAACTGTCAGGGTTTCAAACTGAGTGAAACAACCCAAGCTCATAAAACAAAACATTGTATGTTTCTTTATTCATATTGAAGACATACATATTTATGGATATGTTATGTGTATACATATATATGTATACATATACACATATATACATCATTATATATAAGTAAACCAGAACATGAATCTAAAGACTTTGGAAGAAAGGAGAGAGGGGTAAGAGAAAAAGGAAGTTAAAGGTATTTATTTTGAAATACATTTGTAAGTATATGAAAAATGGCATAAAGAACCCCAGTTAAAGCAGTTGATACATACAAAGATAAACAATCTGGGGGCTGGGAATGTGGCTTAGTGGTAGAGTGCTTGCCTAGCATGCATGGAGTCCTGGGTTCAATTCCTCTGTACCACTTAAACAGAAAAAGCCAGAAGTGGTGTTGTGGCTTAAGTGGTAGAGTGCTAGCCTTGAGGAAAAGTAGCTCAAGGCCAACACCCAGGCCCTTGCAGGTTTCAAGCCCCAGGACTGGCAAAAAAAAGAAAAAAAAAAAAGATAGAAGATTTGTGTTTGCTTAGGTGGGTGCTAGCAGGAGAGGATTGGGCTAACACAGAGAATGAAAGGAGATGAATACATTGAAAATAGATATCAACTGAAAATACAGCTATGAAGCCTTTTGCAATTGTTTTGGGAAAGGATAGAATTGAGGGAGTGAGAGTGAATAAAATATATTGTAAACATGGAAATTTTACAATGAAATCCTTTCCCTGCAAAGAGAAAAAAACAAACTAATGTAAGCATAAAAATTAAAAAATGGGGCTGGGAAGGTGGCTCAGTGGTAGAGTGCTTGCCTTGCATGCCTGAGGCCCTGGGTTCAATTCCTCAGCACCACATAAGCAAAAAGAAAAAAGCCAGAAGTGGTGCTGTGGCTCAAGTGGTAGAGCTAGCCCTGAGCTGAAGAGCTGAGGGACAGTGCCCAGGCCCAGAATTCAGGCCCCAGGATCGGACCCAAAAAAAAAAAAAATTAAAAAGTGGCTATGCTCCAGCTGTTCACTGGTGGCTCACACTCAACTCGAGATTGTGGTTCAAAGCCAGCCCAGGCAGAGAAGTCTGTGCAGCTCCATCTCCAGTTACCCAGTAATAGACCAGTCTTAAGGTATGGCTCAAATTGTACAATTAGATTGTAAGCATTAAAGTTGAGCAAGTGCACAAGACCCTGATGCTGGTGGTTCATACTTGTGATCCTAGCTACCTAGGAGGTTGAGATCTGAGGTTATTGCTTCAAAGCCAGGAAAGTGTGTGAGACTCTTTTATTTCTAACCACCAAAACCCTAGAACTAGAACTGTAGCTCAAGTGATAGCTTTTTTCATTCAAGGCTGGCACTCTAAGTAATCTTGTTCAGGCCTTGAATCACGTCCCAGTGCCAGTGCAAATAAATAAATAAATAAATAAATGTCAAAATAGACTAAATTTAAAACTTTGAAGTTAGAGCTAGCATTTACCATTAATTAATTAAATTTACCATTTGTCAATTAAAAATAGCTTTTTGGTTTGTTTTTTTTTTCTAGAGCTAAGGATTGAACCTAGGGCTTTGTTCATGATAGCTCATAATTGAGTTATATCACCAGCTCTTGTGTTTTTGAGACAAGGGTCATTATATACCCAAGACTGGTCTGGAACTTACCATCCTCCTTCCTGATTGTTTCCCTAGTGCTAAGGTTACAAGTATGCATCACTACATCTGGACCCCAAGTAATGTTTTTTAAAAGATGCTTTTATTCACACTTTACATGTTGAGAAACTACAAGACGTCTCTGCTTAGATGAGTTTGAACAATGAATTCTATAGCTGAAAAGTATGTTTTCTTTTTCTCCTCAGTTGTGTCTTAAGGTTATATGGAAAACAAGGTTATAGACTATGAAATAAATGTTTTGTTGCAAAGTAAGATAAAAGCACCTGAGTTCACTGAATGTATCCAAAAGAGGGGAAAAAAACTACTTGACATTGTAATGATATTGACTTAAAAAATGACATCAAGACTAAATTACTATAAGTGCAAATACTTTAGATTTGCTCTTTTGATTAAAACAATCTTAAACATAGTAATTTAGAGTGATACATCTGTCCTGTTTCCAGGAACTATGCCAGTGCCGGCCTGGAGAAGGAAATTGTTCCTGCTGTAAAGAGTGTATGCTGTGTCTTGGGGCCCTTTGGGACGAGTGCTGTGATTGTGTTGGTAAGGTGATTTGCAGTGCAGTTTCCTAATATTTTTTTATCACAAAATCCTTCACTTTAAAAAATATGAATATATTATTGTCATTATTATTGAGTCATTTTACAAAGGGGTTACATTTCCATAAGTTAGGTCAAGAGTACAGTGCTTCTTGGTTAATCTCACCCCTTCTTTGCTTCTCCCCCCTTTTTCCTTTCCTATCTCTTGAGTTACATAGTTATTGTTTACATAGTGTGTATTGAATATAATGACTACATTTATTCCCTCTTCCTCCATTCCTGTACTCTACTCTTTCCTACCCGCAAAACATGTTTCCACTTACTAGTATTTGTTTTAACAAACAGTACATTAGTTGTTCAAATGAGTTACACTTTTGGATTCTTCCCTTAAGTATACTCCTTTGTTCAGTTTGGTTTTGTGTCAATACATTGAGCCCTGTATATTATCATGCATAGTTTTATTTTAGATATAAAATACAAATTATTTTACATAGTACTTTATAGTATTTGGAAGATTGTGTTATTACCTTTGCTTGTGTTGAATTGTATTTACATATTATTTATTTACTTACTTTTACAGGAAAAGGTCTAGAAGGAAATGTAAATGTTCTTTTGTAGGATAGAGGAATGGGGGACCAGAAACTTTGTTTTAAATCTTTTATGCTGTCTAGGGGTTTTTTTTTGTTTCTGTTTTTGTTGTTTTGTTGTTTTGTTTTTGTTAATTTTTGATCAGTCATGGGGCTTGCACTCTGGGCCTGGGTGCTATCCCTCAGCTCTTCAGCTCAAGGCTAACACTACCACTTGAGCCACAGCAACACTTCTGGTTTTCTGGTGGTTTATTGGACTTTCCTGCCCTGGCTGGCTTTGAACCATGATCCTTAGATCTCAGCCTCCTGAGTAGCTAAGATTACAGGCGTGAGCCACCAGCACTTGACTGCTATCTAGCTTTTTATGTAAAACATTTTGCTTTGATATTTTTGCATGTGCCAGTCCTAGGGCTTAAACTCAAAGCTAAGTGCTGTTCTTGAGCTTTTGTACTTAAGGGCAATGCTGTAATAGTTAATTGGAGATTAGTGCCACAGGTATGCCTATCTGGGCTGGCTTCAAACCAAAACTCTCAGATCTCAGCCGCCTGATTAGCTAGGATTACATATGTGAAGCACTGGGGCCCAGCTTTGTTTTTATTTTTAATAGGAAGCATGTTTGTAGGAGTTTTGTTTTTCATTAGTCATGATGCTTGAACTCAGGGCCTGGGAACTGTCCCTAAGCTCTTTTGCTCAAAACAAAACCACAGCTCCAGTACAGGTTTTTGAGTGGTTAATTGGAGATAAGAGTCTCATGGGGACTTTTCTGCCTGGGCTGGCTTCAAACCACGATCCTCAGATCTTAGCCTCCTGAGTAACTAGCATTACAGGTGTCAGCCACCAGCACCCAATAGAAGCATGTTTTATGGGAAACAGTCTCCAAGATATGTAAAAAAAATTTAGTATGTATACAAGTGTATTTATTGAATGTTATCATTTGTGTTTTAGAAAGTAAACTTACAGACAGCGATGGGAAGGGAGGAATGAGAGGGAAAGAAGGAACAGCCTACACTAAGCAAAAGGAAAGAAATGTAATCATCACCTGATGTGGAAGAAATAACTTGTATTGTCAAAGCTCATAGAATTCACAAACTTTATAGACCATGATAATGACAATTTGCCTTGTGAAGGTTAAAATGTGTTTGTGACTTTAAGTATCAGTATTCCACAATACTGTGAAACAGGTGAAATTTATGTAATCACCTAATCTCAATTTTTAAAAAAGTGGGAGAAGGGATAGGTTAGGAGAGATGTATGACAATGTTGTCAGACACCTTGTACTCATACACTGTTTTGTAGAGTGGGAACTTCTTTGTACTACTACTTAAAGATAATAATAATAAAAATGTAAACAAAATAAAATGGTTATTTCGAAAGTCCGCAAAAAAAAAGTAAACTTACATGCAGATCAGGGCAAAGTAGCACACATCTGTAATTCCAACACTTAGGAAGATAAGTAAGACAAGAGGATGGCAAGATTAGACAGCGTGCATTACAAACAAACAAATAAGTTTAAATGCCTAGACTATTGCTAGAAGAAACACCCAGAATCCCATCTCTGATAGTTAACTCTTTTTACCTTGAAAGACACCACTATAAATATGCCATTTTCTCAGAAGCCTTTTTCATGTGACTGAAATAGGAGCCTTTGTCCTGCAAGATCATATAGTAAATGTTCCTGTAACTGTTGCTTGAATGTCTGTTTCTTAAGAACAGGAAATTTTCACATTGATAATTTTTACATTAATTTTTGTTTGTAGCAAAGTTAACATACATGGAAAAAATCAGGTACTACTAAAAAAGTCCTCTCACTTCCTCTAAATCTTTTGGACCTACCCCAGATAACCACTATCTTCAACTCTGCAGTGTTGGTTCTATAATTCTAAATAAAATTCTTTTTACTATTTTTTGATTGATTTAAGAAACAAGCAGCTGGTTCTCTATTTTAGATATACACAGAGACATAGTGTCTTAGTATCTTTAAATAAGTTGTACAAAGGGGTTTCAATTAAACTTGTCAGCTTATATGTATAATGCATCTTGATCAATGTCATACCTTCTGTCATCTCCCCTATAACTTCCAACCCCTCCCCTCTTCTCAAGTTATTTAGTTCCATTTCAAATCAAATATTATGATTTATGTCTTTGTCTTCTTATTATCATTGTATCACTCAATACTTGTTAAATCAGTATTCACTTTAGTAATCAGTTTAATAAGTTAATAATAAATGTTTTAGGTATACTTCTTAAGAGACTTCCTAATCTTTTAGCCTTTGTGTCATCATCATCATCATCATCATCATCTTTGTGTATGTGCACACACATGCACTTGCCATGTACATTTATGTGAGTCCATGCATGTTAGGGGAAGAATGAATCCCAAAGTCTCACACATGCTAGACAATCATTCTGACACTGAGGGACACCCTTAAATCCTCTTGTATCAATTTTCAAATTTTTTACTTTTTTTTCAAGAGCCCCTCTCAGACTGTCTTTTTGACAGAAGCATACTGTTTGTGTTTTATGTGATTCTTTTTTACTCTTTCTAGGACTGTTTTACAGTTTTGTTGTCAAGATTTTTCTTTCTGCTCTGTGTTGTTTCTACTTTGTGAAATGTCTGACAACCCTTGGCTATCAATTTCCAGTAAAATTTCAGTATTCCAAAGCTGATTGGGATTCTGCACTTGGGACAAGATATGGAACCTAGTTTCCTCACTGAAAGATGATTGGAAAATGAGCATTTTTCCAATTGAAGAGCCCTATGTTCCAGGTTGACAGATCTTTTCCTATAGGTTTTGCAGCATTGTCAGGGAAGGATCTTCCAATTTTCTATCAGGGATAGAAGTTGGGTAGAGGTAAAAGAGGGAGTGTTATGCAAGTATGAAAAGGCTCTGGTAATTTGAGCAGTGCTGCTACAAAATTCATTGTGCATACTTCACTTACTTACTTTTTTTCTCCCCTTCTCATCTCCACTCTTCAGGGTTTGGCATTCCCAATACAGGACCTCTTAGTTTTATTCTCTAGAAAGTAACCCATTGAGGAAAGATCCAAAATGGCAGTCTAGAGACAGGGCAATATCAGAACTCTCTCTGCTCTCTCTGCTCTGTCAGAAATACAAATATCTGGGCTGGGAAGGTGGCTCAGTGGTAGAGCGCTTGCCTTGCACGCATGAGGCCCTGGGTTCAATTCCTCAGCACCACATAAGCAAAAAGAAAAAAAGCCAGAAGTGGTGTTGTGGCTCAAGTGGTAGAGCGCTAGCCTTGAGCTGAAGAGCTGAGGGACAGCGCCCAGGCCCAGAGTTCAGGCCCCACGACTGGACCAAAAAAAAAGAAAAAAGAAATACAAATATCTAACCTGAAACTCGAGCTCAGGTGGATGCCATGGAAAGCCAAGTAGTAAGAACCTAGCACAAATCAAGAAACATCCGACTTATTACTCAGAAAGAGGAAAAATATCAACAATAAAAAAACAGCAGAAGTAGCCATATTGTTATCTGATAAAATAATAGACTTCATGTTTTTAAAAAAAGTACGAAGAGGGGGGCTGGGAAGGTGGCTTAGTGGTAGAGCGCTTGCCTTGCATGCTCGAGGCCCTGGGTTTGATTCCTCAGCACCACATAAGCAAAAATAAAAAAGCCAGAAGTGGCGCTGTGGCTCAAGTGGTAGAGAGCTAGCCCTGAGTTGAAGAGCTGAGGGAAAGTGCCCAGGCCCAGAGTTCAGGCCCCACGACTGGACCCCCCCAAAAAAAAACAAGTACAAAGGGGAAAAAGAAGGTCACATAATAACAGGGAATGGTCCATGAGCAAAAAATTACAGTGGTCCATATATGTGCACCAAATGATGGAGCACCTAAATATATTAAGCACTTAGACTTACAAAATATGACAGACCACAACACAATAATAGTGGGAGACTCTTAACACTCCACTGCCATCACAGGACAGGTAAGCCAAACAAAAGGTCAGCAAAGAAGCCCCTGATCAAGTGACCCCAAAACCCAAGTGGACTTAATGGGCATTCACCAAGTAGTATTTCACCCAACAACCACACAATTCACATTCTCCTCAGCAGCCCATGGAACACTGTCCAAGATTTATCATATTCTAGGACACACAACAAGGCTAACAGATCTGATCACAATGGAATTAAACTAATTTTAGCAACAAAACATGCTGTAGAAAACACTCAAACACTGGACACTGAACAACACACAACATATGGATCACTAAAGAAATAAAGGAAGAAACCAGAAATTTCTTACAATTCAATAAAAATGAGAACACATCATACTGGAACCCTGGGATACAGCAAAAGAAGTGTTGAGAGGAAAGTTCATAGCTCTAAGCATGTACATAAGGAAAACAGAAACAGCTCTAGTAAATAATTACGTGATGCAACTAAAGCTGCTAGAAAAACAGGAA